TTTATTCAACCGACTTATTTGACTTAATCCGATTTAGTTATGCAGTTTGACCAATGACCCGTTGGTTTGACCAATGAAACATAATTCAATACGCCCAATGGTTTGATGACCCCTCCGCTTTTTAAAATATTAATTTAAAGATCTAACTAATCAACAAGCCAATATTTTTATTAAATAAACATCATTAGTAGGACTCGAATACTAATTTTCTTCAAAACATAATTTAAAATATACTTCTTCAACCATAATTTTGACCAAACACTTAATTACCTCTTATTAAGAATTTAAAATTAAAATATTTGCATAACTCAAATGAATTATTTATCTTATGTCTTTTTAATCTACTCTCACAAAATATTCATGTATAAAATATTTTTTTGTGATTTCAAGTGAAACATATTTTTTAAAACCCTAACACATCTATTTTATTCGTCTTTAAAACAAAAATCATTAAAAAATATTTAAGCAATAAGTCATGAAAAAGAGAATGCAAATAATATATATTTTATTTTAAATTGCAGTTATTCATAATACTTTTTACAAAAAGTAAGTTCCAAAGCTATATTTAATTGTACATTGTATTATTTTTATTGCACTCGAAGAAATGGAATTCATGAGTGAAAACAACAACAAGTTGTCTTCTCAAGATGAGTATAACATTGTCCACCTTTTCCAAATCCCTTCAGGCGGCAATCCAAGTCGCACGATGCAACGCAAGGCCCTATACAAACTCCTCCAGGAGGAACCAAAATACTAGTAACCAATCCTGAATCAACAAAAAGTTAAAATTAATATGGTGTGACATTGCTTCTTTATTTTTACATTAAAAATCTCAATTTAATGTTATTCCAACTTGTGAATCGACTAAACTGTAATTGAATTTTATTGAACTAGATATATTATTTAAACAAACAATTAAAAAATTCAACTTCTTAAAAGAGTTAAAAATAATTTTTGAAACGAGCCTTTTTTTTAATTTCTTTTAAATATAAATTTGTAACATACATTTCAATAAAAAATATTTGGAGTTAGTAAACTGTATTTAAGAAATAAATTCAAAAATAAAAACAAAATTTCATTCTTACCTGAAATGACCATAAAAACAAGACATAGAACACCCAAAAGATAAAACTGATTGGTGTGATAGACCATTTTATAAGATTTCAACTTATATGATATTTCTTTGTAACGACTAAGGCTAACGTAACTTCTATTATATAGGCCTAAAAAACGTATTAGCATTATTATTTTATGATATCTCATTTGACTCTTAACTTTATAAAAATTTATAAATTGAATATTAAAGTAAAATCAATATGAACACATTAATGATAGGTTAGACTTAAATAAATAAAGTAATCAATAAAATAAATTTGATAATTTTGAAAATAACTTTCATTTTCTATTGAATTTAAAAAGGAATATAAAATGATATTATTTATCAATGGTTTAATATCTATAATCAATTTTAAAAATTGAAATATTAAAAATACATTGAAATATACTTAAACTTATGTGTAATATATAACTATACACATCTATTTTGATTGTGTGCATTATTTTTATTTTTTTAATCAAAAATTTTCATTAATCCAAAGTCAGAAATAATACAAGGCGATCGAAATCCAGCCCATACCAAGAAATAACTTACAGTACCATCAAAAGAGCTATATGTGGTCTGAGCTTAGGACTCGACCACCCTCTATAAACTATGTTGTTAATGATTCTATCTGTATAATTCCTATTGTCATTTTTTTGATTAAAACAAGTGTCATTTCTAAAGCTCCACAGCTCATGTAGAGTTTCAGTCAGAGCTAATCTAACAAGATCAGCTTTCCAACCTTTACCTCCATAACAATTCAAAATCCAGTTTTTCTCCTCATTCTAATTCCCGGGAGTGTGAGGGATACCAATCCATAGAAGCGTTTCAACCCAAGCCTGCCTCAAAATAGTACACTCAAAAAATAGGTGGTCAATGGTTTCCACCGCAGAGCAAAAGACACATTTGTTATTATTCACCATACCAAACCGATTCAATCTGGCTTTTGTGGCTAGCTTCCCATGACAGATCATCTAGAGAGTATATATTGCACGAGGTCTAGCTCTATTGTGGAGAATTAGCTTGGCCCAGACAACATTAGGTGTGGCAGGTAACAAGTTCACATACACTCTCCTACCAATGAATCTCCCTGCTTGCACCATGTCATTCCAAGCATCCTGCATATTTCCTATATTTTCCCTCTGCAGAAGAATAGTTTTAAAAATATTTGAATCTGAATTCTTAACCATTCTATTCATAACATCCTCATTCTTCAGGTAATAGGCGTGTATCCACCGAACCCATAGATCATCAGTTTTCATGCATATATTCCAGAGTAACTTCATCATAAACATGCTATTCCATGCCACTAAATCAAGCACATTCAACCCTCCTTTTACAGCAGGTTTACAAACCTTATCCCAGGCAATCGGACTCTTCCTACTTATAGTGCTTCCTCCTGTCCAGAGAAAAGATCTGCAAATGGCATTGATTTTGCTAATCACAGTTTTAGGGAAACAAATACACTGCATCCAATACGAAGTAATAGCATACAGTACAGTTTTAATCAACTGTAATCTACCGGCATAGCTAAGAAGTCGAGAGCTCCAATGAGTTATCCTACTCAACATTTTATCCACCAACGGCATATAATGAACCACAGACAGCTTTTTACTACTCATTGGGACTCCAAGATATCTAAATGGGAGAGTTCCCTCATTGTAAGCAGTAAAATTCAGAATTGAGTGCTTAACAGGATCTGAGACACTACCAAAATACACTTTACTCTTGGTAGGGTTAATTTTCATACCTGTTGAATCCAAGAAACTAATGATGGTGCACTGCAGAATTTCCATGGAGCCTTTATCCCCTCTAGAGAACAGCAGGAGATCATCAGCAAATGTAAGATGGGTGAGCTGCAACTTTTCACATCTGGAATGGTGATTGAAATCCGGATTTTTTTGCATTCTGACCAGAATCCTGCTAAGGTACTCCATAATAATCACAAACAGAAGGGGGGACAAAGGATCCCCTTGTCTAATACCCCTTTTTGCTTCAACCTTGTCAGTGTAGTTTCCATTTATATTGAATCTATAAGAGACTGTGGTAACAGCAGTCATAATCCAATCAACAAACCTCTTTGGCAGCCCTATCTCATTGAGGATATTTCCAAGAGCACCCCAATCAACCATGTCATAAGCTTTTTGAATGTCAAGCTGGACCATGCATCTTGGCGTACCATTTTTCCTATTGTAACCTTTTAACAATTCCCTAGCCAATAAAATGTGAGAGTGAATATTCTGACCTGGTACAAATGTTGCCTGAGCTTTACTGATTATAGACCCTAAAACTCTCCCAAGTCTTGCAGATAGGATCTTGGATATGATTTTATAAACCGTTGTGCATCCTGCAATAGGCCTATACTCTTTTATCATTTTTGCAGCAGGATGTTTAGGGATCAAAGTAACAATTGTTTCATTAAATCTTTTGTACAACACATTTTTCTCGAAGAATTCCTGGACAGCTTCAACAACATCTTGCTCTATGATCTCCCAACTAGCCTTAAAAAATTTTCCACCATACCCATCAATACCAGGGCTCTTTAGGTCCCCAATCCCTTTAATAGCAGTACAGATTTCAGCAACAGTAACAGGGGTAATAAGTTCAGCTCTCTGCATCATAGTTAACTGGGGTCCCTCCCTCATAGCATTGATATCAATCATACTCACCCTATGTTCTTTAGTCCCATACAGATTACCATAAAAGTCACAAACCTCTCTTTCAATGTCAGGAATATTCTGAATATAAGTGCCATCCTCCTTTTGAAGTTGACTGAGGTGAGTAACTGTATTTCTAGAGTTGAGGTAGGCATAGAAGAAAGTTGAATTTGTGTCACCTTCTCTAAGCCAATCCAGTTTTGATCTCTGTCTAAGCATTTTAACATTTAGGTCCTGCAGGTAGATCACTTCATCAGTAAACTGTCTCACCTTTTCAATGCTCCCTACATTCATTCTGTCCACCAATAACTCTTCCTGCGATTTGAGAAGCTCAGTCCTGGCTTTTATAATGGACAAATGGAGATGAGAGAACTGCTTGCTCAATTTGATAAGAGGAGCCTGCAACCTCAGAAGCTTGTACCACAACCGAGCCATAGGTCTTCCCACACACACTTTATGCCAACTCTGCTTTACAATGCCCTGATACCCAGCCACCTTTATCACACTATTAGTAAACTTGAAGTTGGTGTGTACAATCCTGTTTCTTTTCTGGTCAGACAAACAAAGTAAGCAGTGATCAGAAATACTAGGAGGGAGAATCTCTAGATTCACATCAGTGTTTTCCTGCAGCCATTCAATGTTACCAAGCACATGATCAATTTTTGAGTATATAGTACCTACAGAATGTTTATTTGTCCAGGTAAAATAATCACTTGTGATGTCCTTCTCAAAAAGCCCAGCATGATCCATCAAGTTTCTTAGATCAACATATTCTCTCTCAGTCACCAAGTTTCCCCCAATCCTATCCATGGACTTTGTCACGTTGTTAAAATCACCCATAAGGAACCAAGGCCCTTGTTGGTCGTTATGTATGTACACCAGATCCTCCCATAATTTCCTTCTTTGGTCCAGCTGATTCATAGCATAAATGGCTGTCAACCAGTTTTGGAGGTTACCATTGATATCATATATTCCACAGTGTATCATCTGAGATGTGCAACTCACCACTCTGATGTCCTTGTAACTATCATCCCAAAAAATCCAAATCCTGCCATTGTAATGAGCTTGGTAGTTATCAATATATTTACCTCTGAGGTTAAGACAGTCTCTAACTTTCTTTGCTTTATCACATTTAACTCTAGTTTCTAGTAGTATTGCAATTTTGGGATGAAGGTTTAGGAGACGGGAGCTAGTCTCCTTTAGCTTCCCCATTTTATTCAACCCCCTGAGATTCCAAGAGACAATCATTGGCCTGTGTTTTGAGCCTCTATGAGATCCTTCAAAATCTCTAGAGCATCAAACCCATTATCATACGAAAGCACACCTGCAGCACCAGCATTACCTGTCTTTTTTCCTCTATCTATACCACTTTTAATAACCTCAGTCCATTTTTCCATAACTGTTTCCACATCCTTGTTTCTGATAGAAAGACTCTCATCAGCAGTAGTACTAGCATTACCCTTCCTGATCTGAACTATATCCATATTGACATTTCCTACTTCAATAGGCCCTTGATTATCATCCTCATCCTTGTTTGACATCACATTAGCTTCAGGTTTCTTCACATTCCTAGGTATCCATTGTTTCCTACCTTTTGACATTTGTTGCAGAATAAAGGTCTCCACTCATACTCAATTGATTGTTGCATCTTTTCTCCTTCATGATCAGCAATGGTGATTGATTGAGGAAGCTCCTTTGTAATATCCATTTCAACAAGAATGCGCGCATAGGATACTCGCAGTCTATTAGCAGTACATTCATCTGTCATAATAGGCTTACCTAGGGCACTCCCAATCTTATTCAGGCTTGTATCACCCCACAAAATGATAGGGAGTTGGGGAAGTTTTACCCAAATAGGTAGGGTTCGCAATAGCTCATCCTTGATCTTGAAATTTGGTCTCCACTCACGAATCAACAAAAGAATTTTCTTAACATGTACGGTCCTCTCAGCAAAACTTCGTCTCGATCTGTGAATGATTTGAACCGGAGAATGAAATACCCTTCATCATTGAAATACATGTCCGGCAGTTGAACAAAGTTCCAAGATCTGGTCATAAAATTCTTGACAGCATTCATACTCAAATCCGCTCCCATTGCATAAAGAATCAGAGAAGATTCCCAGAACTTGACTTCAGAACTGACATCATCTTCTTCAATTAGAACCTCTATTTTCCCATCCACGACTTGAGGGGGTATGAACTTCATAGCACGACCTTTCGCCGGATTCCTATTATCCTTTAACACATCAGCCCATAGCTTCCGCCCTTCTTCAGGAGTTGCAGTTTGATTAGGTTTTTCCAGGTCTACTTCTTTGCGCTTTTCCTCAATACTTTCGTCTTCTCGAGCATCTGAGGTTTCTCCAAGGTCTTTGATTCCCCCAATTTCTGATGTGCTGAGATTCTTGCTGACATTGTGACTTCGCGAGTTCGATTGAGTTACCGGAGTAGAGACCACCGGAGATAATGGTGGTGGAGGCACCGATTTTTTTGGCGACCGATTGTGTGCATTATTATTATAATAAAAATTAAAAAATTTGTAATAGAAATATATTACACCATTTTTTTCCAATGGCAAAAAACGTGGACAAATTACATAGCAGTTATTTTATTTTTCTTCAAATTACGACTTTGTTTTAAAATTAAACGATTAAACTTCACATGAATGTTCGAACACGAGACTTTTTTAACATCAGATTATTTCTTTAAATTATAAAATATTTTAATATTATCTTTAATAATTTATAATTTATTCAATGATATTTTATGCGTAAATAATCTAATGAAATTATGGCGTCCTTGGTTTTTCAATTTATCAAAACTCAATGTCTTTTTCCTTTATTTATAGAACATAGTTTTTGAGCTCTCAATTAACCAATAAGTTTTTTCTATTTATTTATTTATATTATGCTAGGATGATAAAAATAGTTACTCTTGGCACAGTTAAGTATATGATAAGTTATTATTGTAGTTTAACAAACTGTTGACCTGTTAAACCAGCTTACTTTAAAGTTGTGTAGGGACATCCAATCACAACGGTGCATACTTGAACCCATACCATCCTTGTTATTTTTAACATTGGAGTGTGAAATTTCAACGACTATAAGTAGACTTTGTTCAAAAATTATTTGGAACACCTTCTCCTCCTTTGATTAAATTTATTAGACGTTGCAGTTACTTTGTTATATGTTTTTATGTTGCTGTTAGGCTTTCTTCAAAATTAATTTGTATATGCGTTTTGACCTCTTTTGTTTTGTACGATGATTATGTTTAGAATTTTGAATTTAAAGAATAAACTTCTAAAATTATGAAATTTTGTTTTTTTTGTAGGTTTCATAATTTTTTTAGAGACCAAGTTATATGTTCGGCCGGTTTAAAAACTTTATTATTTTGTTATAAGGGTCTGGTTTATTCAACCGACTTATTTGACTTAATCCGATTTAGTTATGCAGTTTGACCAATGACCCGTTGGTTTGACCAATGAAACAATAATTCAATATGCTCAATGGTTTGATGACCCCTCCAATTTTTAAAACATTAATTTAAAGATCTAACTAATCCACAAGCCAATATTTTTATTAAATAAACATCATTAGTAGGACTCGAATACTAATTTTCTTCAAAACATAATTTAAAATATACTTCTTCAACCATAAATTTGACCAAACACTTAATTACCTCTTATTGAAAATTTAAAATTAAAATATTTGCATAACTCAAATGAATTATTTATCTTATGTCTTTTGAATCTACTCTCACAAAATATTCATGTATAAAATATTTGTTTTGATTTCAAGTGAAACATATTTTTTAAAACCCTAACACATCTATTTTATCCGTCTTTAAAACTAAAATCATTAAAAAATATTTAAGCAATAAGTCATGAAAAAGAGAATGCAAATAATATATATTTTATTTTAAATTGCACTTATTCATGATATTGTTTACAAAAATTTCTTACAAAAAGTAAGTTCCAAAGCTATATTTAATTGTACATTGTATTATTTTTATTGCACTCGAAGAAATGGAATTCATGAGTGAAAACAACAACAAGTTGTCTTCTCAAGATGAGTGTAACATTGTCCACCTTTTCCAAATCCCTTGAGGCGGCAATCCAGGTCGCACGATGCAACGCAAGGCCCTATACAAACACAATCAAAATACTGGTAACCAATCTTGAATCAACAAAAAGTTAAAATTAGTATGGTGTGAATTTACTTCTTTATTTTTACATTAGAAATTTCAATCTAATGTTATTCTGACTTATGAATCGACTAAACTATAATTGAATTGTTATTGAACTAGATATCTTATTTAAATAGAAACTTAAAAAATTCAACTTCTTACTTGAAGTAACCATAAAAACAAGACAAAGAACACCCAAAAGATAAAACTGATTGGTGTGACAGACCATTTTATAAGATTTCAACATATATGATATTTGCTTTTAATATTAATCAGATGACTCCACAGCCTTCTCTTATCAGCTGACCCGCATGGTGCATAAACGTTGATAACAATCAAATTATGATTATTCCAAACTAGGTGCAATTCTAAGAAACCTTTCCCACTGAAACTAGAAACAACTGATATTCTAGAAGTATTCCATATGGTTAGGATACCTCCTGATTTTCCGACAGAATTCTGAGCTGACAAATCCTTGTCAGGGTTACTCCACAAACTATTAACAAATTCAGCTTCCATCTTATTGATCTTGGTTTCCTGGATCATGCATATATCTGCATTTCCTCTTTGCAAAATTTAAGAAATTCTCCTTCTCTTTAAGGTACCACAACATCCTCTAACATTGAAGGAAACAAGATTCATTGACCTGCAGTAGCTACAATCTTCTTACCAAGAGAAAAATCCTTATCTACCTTATCCAATTTTCTCAAGATGTGCCCAAGGTACTCTTCATCTTCACCCTGTATTCCCAGAGCTTTAATATAATATCCCATTTTAGATGGAACGTCTTCAATGATCCTTCTACATCTTGAATTACCTTTTTCCACATCAGTATCTGTAACTGATTCACAGCGTAATAAAGCAGAACAAGAACTTGAAGTATCTTCAGCCAGGTTACTCTTCTTCCTTTCCTCCTTATGAAATTCCTTCGACTCAGAGTGGGGATCAACCATAGGAGCCGCGAGAAGCAGGGAGGAATAATAAGAAGGGGTGTAGGGTATCTTAATACTATTATAGATCTCGTTAAGTAATTTTTTCTTTTTGGCTTTACCTCTAGATCCAGGCCCAATATATCCTCCAAAAGGCCCACTGATATGTAATGGTAGGCCCAAATCTACCTCCAAATCCCTATTAAGCCCTAAATCTGCTGCTTTAGATTTATGTAGTTCCAAATCAACCAAAAAATTATCTGGTTTAGTTCCTCTTGAACGAGTCAGAACAGTTGGATTCTTTAGGTTACACTCTCTTGTCCCATCACCTTCTGCATTTTGTTCTAAGTTATCCCCTACAGCAAATACATTGTTTGACACTGAAAAATCCAGATCTACCTTTTGAGCTTCTGATATAGGTGCTCTGACTCCTGTATCAGAATACGAAAGGATGTTTTCAACACTCTCTTCCTCCTCAGTAAATTCCCACGCGCCATCGGATTCTGGGGGGTTAGAGGATTCTAAATCATCAGAGTCAATTATCTCATCTTCTTCACCAGACAGAGGGTCTCCAAGACCAATTGATAAATCTTCAGAAATAGATAGTGCAAAAGTGTGGTTGTTGACAACTATGTCAATCTTGAGATTCAGGATGATTTTTAGGTTTGTTTTAATAAGAACTCTTGCTACGTCAAATCTCTCTTTATTCCACGTCTTCGCATCGCATTTGATGAAAGTTCCCAAGCAATAAGAGATTTGTCTGAAGTTATTCTCATTCCAAGCCACACAAGGCAAGCCGTGGCAGTTAATCCAAACTATCATGTCTCTATCTATATCCTCCATGTTCCATTTGCAAATATCTTTGAACCAGATGTCCAACCAATCACTAGCTTCCTTCATGAACGCCTCAATTTCACCTCCAAAAGTATCTTCTAGCAAACACAAAGATGCTCCCAAAGGAGTAGCCTTAATGTTAAAATATCCTTCTTCAAAAAGTAACTTCTGAATATTGAAAGCATTTCCATCTTCCAAGACTACTCCTACTCTCATACGATTCAGCCTCCTGCTCCACTCATCATCCATCTCTAAGGTAAGGTAATGATTACTTTCTTTAGCCTTTTCAACAATATTATGGTAATCTCCACTAACTACTCTGGCAAAAGATCTATCCAGATTTAATAGGTTTTTTTGAAATACCAGAATGGACAAGATTAGATTTCCTCCTCAACTCTTCACAACCTGGGACTGGCCTCTTATTCTATCTACTGAACCTGGGGATATTAACAAAAATCTTCTTGTCTTTCAATACAATGTTGTCAAGATTGCAAGCTAAAATTCGAGGATCATGGACTTTCCGGAATTTAGCAAAACCGAACCTTTTGCCACGTTTATCTCTCTTAGCTGAAATGAAAACTTCTGAGATTACTCTGTATACCTTGAAAACCTCGAATAGATCTTTAGCATTCATATTATCTGGAAATTCAGTGACGT